CAGTACGGTGCACTCCTACTTGGGATGCCTCGAGAAAGATTAGTAGCGCGCACACCTCCGCTGCCGTCACGTTATTTGTTATTTTGACCAACTTTCCCCCCGACTCCCACTAAGTAACCAGAGACCAGGAGTGACAGTAGCCCAGCGTTTGCAGCTCTTCGAGAGCAACAGGAGAAAGGTAGTGCCGCACCCAGCTGAAACCCCTGCTTTCACTCCATCCACATTAGGTCAAAAAAAAGAAGCAGTTATAATTTTGCTATAGCTGACTCAACCTGGATTTGAATCCAGGATCTAAAGGCAAATTAAATTTCGCCATCCACGTTAAGAAAGCAATTCAGCTTCTGAACTGGATCAGCTTTGGTGCCACACTAAAGAGTTTAGTTGAAATGTGGTATGATGAAAGACTCCTGTTCAGCAGCAGATATAATTATCAAACCGATCTTAATTGGATCATGAACTTGACTTTAGAATCCCCAAAGGAGTATTAAAAGCTTGGTCCAGTTGCACTGAACTTGATCCAGAACACTGAAGCTTATCCATCACGATAAATGTATTACTAGTTCTTTGATGTGACAGATGCTTGATGAGTGACAGAGCAAATGCCTTTTTAGCTATGATTTTAAAAAAGAATTATTAAACCGCACTAAAGTGTATGCTGTTATCTTTGAGGGAAAAAAGTATAATACATGGAAACCAATTATTACAGAGCACATAGAGCACAATTTTTCAAGCACTGGTTTCAGAATTAAAAACATCTGAACAAAGGTTCTCTCTGTGGAGAGTCACTTTGTAACCAATTCAAGCCTTTAAATAGCTATTGTTTAAAAAAAAAAGTCAGCTACAGAAATTGTTTTCCTTCAGATTCCAAATCCTGTCAAGCCAGGTTGATTAAAATGTTGCATTAAAAAAAAAGAAAAAAAAAAAGGCAATCTAATGATTCCTTATAAAAAGTGAAAACAGCAACTCAATTTTGAAAGCACCATGAACAAATGGCTATGGCCCATCTATCATTCACATATGGATTCATGTAATGATTCTTCAATTAGAATTATTATCTATACAGCAGCTGAAGACTGAGAACTGCTGATACGCTGCAGATGAGAACATTTGCTAGTCTCTGGGCTCCAGCCTTTCTTGAAAAATGATGATCGCACAATATAGATTGCTCAGTTTATATGTGTATTAAGCTGCAATGCCAGCATTCACATTTGCAACATTACAATTTTGCTTTCTTAGGCTCAGGAGAATTTGCTGCATCTGGTAGATTTTATTTTCTTTGTATCTTAGGCAATCGTTACGAACAAAGTGTGAAAAGGCAGTATTATTGCTCAAACGGTCCTTCGTTTTGTTCATTATCTCGGATACTACAGAAGAAATAAGCTAAGAGTGGGCCTGTGAGATGGGTCATTCAGCACCAGTTTGCTTGCACCGTATTATCCCAGTGAAATTTTTACAAGGCAAGTCCATCTGCTCCTTCATTTCTTTCACCTATATAGATCCAGATAGCGTAAGATGTAGTATCAGAGGGAAAGTAAAGCATCTCGCAGAACCGTTACAGGGACCATAAGGGAGGAAAGTCACTTTGGCAATTCAGACTGCAGCAATCTGAGGGGCCTGTGCCTACCCACGCACCCTGCCCGTTGCCACATGTTACTGTCTTCAGAAGCAGGTATCCGCAGAAGACAGGCTCTGCAGAAGCGGAACGGGAAACACGCTAGCTCTACAGCCACTGCTTCTCACCTCTGCAATGCCCAAACACACCCCAGCGTCAGTATTTCTCAGTACACTGAGAGCTGCGGTAGCCGCCAGACCGATCACTGCGCTGCCTCTGCTACGGGGCGGTAACTTCAGGCAGAGCAGCAGACTCGGTAGCAAGACTGGGAACCTCCTAAACTTCTCTTTCTGAATCCTCAGCTCTTCTGGAATACTGCAAGCGCTTGCCCCTTCCGATTTCACAGCTGGCAGCCACATGGTGAGACCTAGGAGCTGATGGAGATGGGTAGCTACATAAATAGCAGCTGTGAGACAGCCTTACAAAACAGGCATCTGTTCCTGGTGTTCCTGTTAGGATTCTTGCTGTACGAGCCCCAAGTGTGTTCTGAAGCCCAGATACCCTTCCTAGGCATCTCACTGGCAATGTGGGTGCTGGAGACGGCAAGCTGGCTCTTGCAGATTTCTGAGGTATGTGGAAGCCCGTAGCAACATGTGCCTATATAGAGGTTAGGAAAAACGCTGCACAGGTAACCAAGTTAAGCAGCTTCTTACTTCACTGTACAATCTTAGAAAGATCTTCATAGAAGGCAAATATTGTTAATATATTTGTCTTACTCTGCACAGTTTGACACACCTATGCCCATGCTATTACCATCTTTCACAGTACTACTTTTAGTAGGAGAGACCTGCCGTAGCCATGAAATCTCTCCATATCTGTTATGCAAAGGAAATGAAAACTCTGCTCAATGTTATTTCACTACTTTATTATAGATATTAGTGAACAGAGAATAAGTGATTTACACTCTTCCTTGAAAAATACTTTTTATCTACTTAATCTCCTAAATAACCAATTACTTTCTACTTACTCGAAAGTATATTGCCATTCAAATTACTTAAAATTTCATTGTATTTACAATGACATTATATAATGCTTCAATCTCTAAAAATTTAATATTAATTAAATAGGCATTTAAGGGAACAAAGCAAGCAAACAAAACTGAAAACTGGTACACCAGCTTACCAAAGTAACACAACACAAATACTTCGTTCAAGAGTTTATACACATGATGGGGCACATTTCTCAAAATATTTTAAATTTCCTGACTTCAGGTGGCATCACTAAGATTGCATTGCAAAGAGATGTTATGACATATGAATTAAAAATGTGGGTTTTTTTCAGTTAAAGCCACCATCTTAAAATGTTGTGGTTTTTTAAAATAGAAGGTTTAAAAGGTCAAAATCAGAACAAACCACTTAATTCTTTCCCTGGATACTTGTTTATAGAGATTTGTTGAAATTTTCAGCTTTGATTTCAAATGGGAAACATTTTGAAGACAGGAAAAACACTACCTGAGAAAGCAGTTCAACCTACAGTAGAAGTGAGTGAATTATTTGCAGCAGATAATTCGTTATGAGAACATAAAAGGTAGAGGCTTCTTCCTCTCAGAGAAGGCAACTGCTGTTTTCTTTATTCGGTTTCAGGATATTATTCATCAAATGCTTATTTTAGCTGCTAGCATACATCTCCCTAAACTCTCATAACAATAGTTCTAACGTTCGCATTATGTGACTAGTCATCTAAATTAATAATTTATACTCCTTCAGCAAAGAGCAGCAATATCGAAAACTAGAAAGAAAGGTATCACTAAGGCCTTGTGGTTTTCATTGGCTGCTCCTATATACTGAATACTGAGGCAGTGAGCTGTGGAGTTTTGGCTCCCAAGCTTGTGGAAGAGCTTTACTGACCGCAAAAACTGAGGTATAGCGTGCTCTCATTAAAAAAAAAAAAAAAAAAAGGTGGGGGGGAGGGGGAGAGAAGGAAAAAAAAATTACATCTCCATATAGCCACAAGGACTCAGTGGTCAAGTTATATTACATTTCTCCTAGGGTGCGTTTGTACAGCAAAGAACAGCTGTGACTGTAGTACAGGGAGCCATACCTTCACAAGCTTTAATCAATCTAATGTGAAAGTGGAGCAATAACAATGTAGAAGCAGCAGTTCAATTTAAGCTTAAGACACAATGGACCTCACTAAGTGAGAGCACCTTCATGATTATTAGCATACTATTAACTTCTGTGTATTGATATCACTTCTTGTATCAATTCATTTGAACATGCTGGATCGACAAGCCCGTCAAAAGCACCACTATTTTGACTAAGCAATTTACAGAGGGCTCTGAAGGATTCATGTCTCGGATCCCACCAAACAAAGTAGCTAGAATACTTTTTGACATTTAGGATTCATTAACTGTGATGTCCCAAGTATTACTACATTACCAACAAGAAAATGTTTTTGAACATTAAGCTCACTTTGAACAGTAATTGACACAAAAAACTAAATACAATGTAGTAATTGCATTTAAGAATAATTAACCAAAAGTTTTGCAACCTACAGCACTGTCACTCTGGTGATACGGAACCTTTGTTTCAGGAACAGACTCTGAATCTATTGTTTGCTTAAAGAATTCAAATCAGCAACGGCACACAGCCACCGAAGCAACAGTGCCAATGGCAAGAGACACTTCAGAAATGGAAGTCTATACATTTTAACAACCATGGACTAAAAATGCCAAAATACCCTCAGGTCTCACTGGCTCTTGAAACCGCTGCATTAATCCCACAAGGCATTCCTCCTTTTCTGTGGGTCTCTGACCTCATCACCCTATCAAAGAGAACATGAAATGGAAAAAAAAAAAAAGCAAAAAAAAGACAAAAAAAAAAAAAAGAATGTACCTCTCCACTCCACAACCCCTTGCTTTCATTATTAACATTCCTTTGGGTTGCTGAACTATGCAAATGTTTCCAAGAGCTGAGCACGGACAGGATATGAGGTATTCTAGGTTTTTCTTTGCCACTGAGGGCTGCTTTGTTCTAGGCAGTTCTTGAGAGGTGAGAACATCTGAAAACACTACTATTCCAACTCTATCATTTCCTCATGTAGTTTTAATATTGTATTTAGTAAGGGCTATCCCAATACTTCTATAAATCTTTGAAAAGTGATACGTATGCTGATGAGAAACAGGGGATATTCTGAGAACAGTGAAACGTTTCTTGCTGCATGGTCTATACCTAGGAAGGAATTCAATCACTGTCACAGAAAATCTTGTTAACCAAGAACATGTGAGTAAGCATTCTGTGATTTGCTGAACACTGGTCCAAATAGTCACCCACAGACTGAAAGGCCAGCTCCAGGTCTTTATGAATGTAAAGCTTTACTTTGGCAAGATATTAAGTGCGTATTTGTGCTGCAAAAAACTTGTATCTGGCACTCAGTCTTGGAAAGAATATCACCTACTTTCTTTAAAGCTGAATTTCACCCAAGTTTTTTTGTTGCTGTTGATTTCAGATCAGGAATAAATTTTCTCCACTGCTGATTCCCAATGCTAACCCAATACAAACCTGACATCCTTCAAACAAAAGCGTATCTTCCTGTGTTACCACATCTCTATCACCTACTCTTCAAGGTGTTCTGTGCCTGTATCAGAATTACCTATTTCATTTACACTTTTTTCTTTCTTGGCTTCTTTTCTAGAAGTCTTCAAACACTTGTCAAGTCTTTTCAGGAACACATCTACATCTTGCTTTTTAATTCCAATTGCTGAGGCAGCATTGAGGTAAGCACAGGGATAGTCATTTGTATGTGACATGAAGCCTTTAAAAGTGTAGTTATTCACTGTTTGTACAGACCCACAGGGAACAACCCTGAAACAAACAAAACCAAATTGTGATTCAGTTAAAGATGCCTTGGATATTTTCTGTGATACCCTATGATGAACACATTTACACAAGTTCCTATACGGTGTAATATCTACTAACTCTAAACAAATTAATGTAAGCAGGCTTAGATCAGGCATTCTCCAAGTTAGTGCCCAAGCATCGCCGTGAGTGACAGTAGTAGCAGATCCTGAATTAGCTCGAGGCTGTGTGCATACGCATATGTCCTTCCCCTCTTCAGTCAAATTATTAGTCTTCATTACTGGTATTTATGAGCTCCCCCAGTATGGGGGGCGGGGGAAAAGACATCTGCAGCAAACTTTCCTACTCCATAACAAGCCTTAACTATCTGACCTGCTCTGTCTCTGACCTGGGCCTGTTCACCCCTGCTTAGGCAACCTGGCGACCCCGAGTTCCCCGGGTGACCACTCTGACAGCAGCCTCAGCACAGGTATCTGCTTGGCACAGTGTACTGCAGTCCAAAACGTCTGGGCTCAAGTGATTCAGAGGGCTCAGGATGCCAACTTCTTCCCACCCATTCCTCCCTACTGCATCTCCTTTTCCACCATCCTATAATGTTAACCCCACGTTTACTCCCTCCCTGTAGCGTGTACTTTTTGCTACCGCTTTTACCTATTGCTCATACTAAGAACCTCTACCTGTTACACCCTATTTCTCAGCACTTTCAGTACATATCCATCCCTGATAAATCAAGACCGTAATCCACATTCTTACTTGTTAAAGGAACAACTTGCCTTGTGGCTACAGTTAAAGCCTACATAAGCAGTTAACACCAATCAATTGCTAAGAATTTACTACCTCTGTGGACACATTCCCTGCAGTTCATAAAAGAAACTGCATTCAGACAAATACCACTAGGATTAGCAGATCTTTCCTTGGTCCAAGAGCTCAGACCACAGGTTATAAAGAGCCTGCACACTAGTGAAGTAGGGAGTTGCTATTCCTACCACTGACATTCAGCACAAGCATAACATTTAAAATCTGTTGAAATGCTGGGTCAAACAGTGTATCTACTACAAAAGAATTACTCACATAAAAAAAAAAAAAAAAAGGAAAAACTTGAAACCTTTATATCAGACAAAGAATTGGAGAGTTATAACTTTTCAAAAACTGAACCTCTTGAATAATTTCAACCAAAGACGGCTGAAACTGCAGGACAAGCCAAGGTTAGGACAAATTAAAAAGAGCATCTAACTACAGTACATATAGATTTACTGCCATTCATCTGTGCAGGAAGTGAAATAATCCAAGCTAATGAAGCATACCTTCTGATGTGGAAACATTCAACTCTGCTACAAAAAAAATGACATTAAATCTATGGCAGAAGTTAGCATGGCAGCAGTAATATTCAGATTAAGGAATCCTGCCAAAACTTACTTTAAATCATTCTCTTCTTCTAAAAGGTTTAAACCAAAATCACTACAAATTATTTGGCCTGCATTTCTACATATCAGTGTCTCTAAGGGTAAATCCAACTCAGACTGGCTCAGGTTGTAGATTTTTTTTTTTTTTTTTAAAAACACAATTAGTTCTGGAAAGCAGGATTTTCTTCCATATGACAAAAGGCTACGTAGGGTATTAAAAGCTTATTCCCCTGACATGCAGCACAACCATATTTGTGCTGCAATAAACAAAACAAAGATCTTCCCTAAGTAGCTTACAACTTAACTATAAGATCAGGCAACAGCTGGAAAACTAAATGAAACCAAGCGGCACTAGGGAATAATGACACTAAATTAAATGGGCATAGATTATCTATTTAGCCTACTACAGCTAACAGGGCCTCACTGCTAACTCAGGCAGGTAGGCATTATTAGTACATAACAGTGATGAAGAAGGGTATATTAGTCTCTGACTTGTTATTGTCAGACTGTAGTCTGTAATCATGAGACAACTGTTACAAAACAAATAGTATTGGATTTCATAAAATATATGCAAATACAATCCCCATGAATTTTTAAAATTCACATCATTCTCACCTCGCTCCAGAAACTTGTCTTGTGAAAAGCATAGATCCAAGCTGGGTAACAGCAGCATCATTATTTTCATCAAGATTCTTCAGTGACATGGCTAAAGTAACAAAAGGTCGGGTTAAAACTGCTACAAAGCTTCTTTTTCTTGAAAGAACCACCACAGAGGACAAGCTGTTTTCCAACACCACCACCAAATATTTGTGTTTAAATACAAAGAAAAAAAAGACTTCATCATTTTTAATTTTCCCACAAGCTGTCATAGATTACTTCTTTGGTTAGAATGTCATGTAAGGCAGAGATTCTGCACAGGTAGGCAATATCACTTCGGTGTTCAGCAGAATTTTTGTTTAGAACAAATACCTTGAGTAGGAATTCCATAATCTCTTCTACAGCACTATAAGATGATGGGTAAAATAATTATAGCCTAATTTATTTTTAAATCTACTTATTTATAAAGTATTACTACATGCTAACATCTTCTGCCTGCCTTGATTACAACAAATGAGTATGTTGGACAGGAGCAATTCTGTAAAAAAAAAAAAAGCTCAAGTCACAACTCTTCTTTTATAGTGGGTTAAATTATTAGGTTCAATGGTTTCATCTCAGACGAAGAACAATCTAATGGAGCAATGTTTAATACATAGGAACTGTTTGTGAAAGTGCATTATGAATGTATAGTATATTAGAAATTTTATTTAAAAGATAAAAAACAACAATTACCTAAGGAAATGGGATTATGTGGTGTGTCTAACAATCTCTCATTATGGATATCTGCCAGCTTCTTCAGCTCACTTGAAAGATAGGAAAACATCTCCTGGAAAAAAAATATGCAATACTGTTCTTATTAGCTAAACAATAGAGAAAACAGTACCTATTTCACAAAACTGTTAAGTCTCCATTATATCTTACAGGTGGCCAGCGGATCCTCTTCTCATGTCTACTAAGTGGACCAGACAATTCTCCAAAATCATTCTATAAATGAATGGTTCCGTTACCTGAACACCGTTTTTCCCCTTCAAGCTGGTACAAAGCTCTCTATCTGGTCTAACACATGTGCTTGCGATCTCAGCCATTCTCTTTGCAGCCCTGAAACCTAGGGAGGTAAAATCTTGACAAGATTCCCACGGCCCAGCACTCCTGCAAAAGCTTCCCCCCACCCTAGCACCCTGAGCCACAGAGAATGAACTGTTACCATCACAGATGGCCACCTTAAGGCAAATTGCTCCTTACTTTGGTTTCAGACTGAGTAGTGCATTTTGTTACTGTGTATCCCACAAGCACAATTACCACTGGCGCACAGACTCCTTTTTCTGTATGAGAATGGCAACAGTCTCTTAATGAGAAGGCTATGAGTACATATTTGAATGTATTTTGTCTCACACAATCCATACTCTCCTGAATACTGAGCTCTGTTGTGTAGCCAGTCCTCTTCCCAGGACCAAACCCTCCTGCTCAAGCCTACTAAAAGAATGGAGATATCTGAATCTCTGCTATCATTTCATTAGATTGCACCTTTATTGTGAAAGTGTCATAAAACTGAGATTCACAAATGTTTTGGCTCAGATACAAGTCACGCTGCACCTAAAAGGCTGCTTCTCCTACTTCATCTTTATTTCCTCCCTCTTCCCCAGTAGTAATCTATGATAATTGCTCACGGTCTTCCTCAGTTTAGTACCTTCCTCTTCATGTCTCAGCTCAAAACCCTTATGGCCAGAGCGAGAACAAACACCATTCTTCTTACTGCACCCTTGGGCTTCTTTGCCATCCTTTTTAATTCTTAGTCTCTAATAAAAAGTAGCAAAAAGATACAAACACTGGGTAGTCTTTTTAAAAGATACTAACCACCAGATTTTTCCTGTTTCTGGCCACAAAAATTGTGCTGCTCATCTGCTTCAGTCTGACTGCCTGTTTAAGCACCCTCATCAATTTCTGGACTTGACAAGTGATTTTTCATTCTTTAAATAGAGTTGCCTTTTCTGTTTGTAGACCAGGATCCTGTTCTGACCTGCGCACTCTGACAGATACAAATTATAGCTTGTGATCAAAACTATGTTTTTGAGCAGAATCTCCCAAAGGTCTTCTGAAACCAAATGAGCTTTGTGGTAGCTAAGCTGGGAGAATGTTACAGTTGCTTTCCTTCAGCCACTGCAGTGAACCCAGTCTCACTTCATGAGTGACCAAATGAACACAGCTCCCAACCCGTTCTTACTAATACCACAGAATGAATTCAGCCAGAGAGGAAAAAGTACCGTGCTTCTGTCTAAATGAATCAGGCTATTCATTCAACTATCAACAAGAGCATAACGCTTCTATAATACTTGGAACAACAGCAAAAAATTTTGGGAGGCATCTACGGTTAATGATCAGAACTTGAAATTTGTGAAAAATCATCCTTATTTTTCAGAGGCATTTGTAAATCACGTGATTTTAGGGTTTCAATTCAGAGCTTATTTACAGTTCACTCACAGAAGTTGAAAAACCTTTATGTTTCAAAAGTTCAGACACTTTTTTCCTTCCTTCTGGTCCCTCACTGAATATAAACACGTTACTTATTTGTTATTTGCTTCCCACAACAAGCATCACCAATGTGTTAGCGATTTTGTTAGTATTTTTTTGGAATCCAAACCATAAATTAATTTGTGCTCCCTCTGCTGGCTATTTACTTCTACAATTGAAGCAAAGTATTACAGAAATATACATATATTGTGTCTACTATGGAGATATTATTGGTGAAACTAGTACTGAGAAAAACCTGTCCCGGAACAGGAACAAATTCCCAAATAATTAATTTTTGTGTGTTGTACCTAGGGAATTCTCTATTGCACCTCTTAAGATTTATTACTTAAAGGACTGCAAGTTGGTATAACCAGCACTTATTTATACAATCACTGCATAAATGTATTGAATTAAATTTAGATTAAATACTTAGGTTACTAGATGAGCCTTTACATACACAGGAATTTGTCAAAGCAAGGGAGAATGGAAAGATGGCAAAAAAAATCCAAGTATGTATTTTCATCAGTTTGACTGAAGCTACCTGAATACAAATTCAGAACTTACTTTTATGAACGACACTATTTTGCATCTTTCCACTGGAAGCCCTCTAGACATTTTACAGTTTCAGAAGTTAAGCAGTTTGCTGCAAAGTAGATTCACGGCCTTTGCAAAAAAAAAGGAAAAAAGCAGTATTTTTGTGAGGTCAAATCTATAACCAACCTCCATCATAAAATATTTCTGTTACATGGAAAATTTATACGTGCCCTAAGCAATTATATACAAATGAGTTCTTACACAATTGATTTTCTGTGATAAGCACTCAAGTTTTCTCCAATGAAGCTAACTATTATGCTAAAGTTGCACTGAACAACCCAAGCACTAAATGTCAGTTAAGTTCCATTATTTAATTCACTCTTTTCCCTTAGAAACTTCTCGCAAAACCTCACCAGGCTAGTGAAATGAACGCTAAACCATGTGAAAATGTCTTGCACTTCTTCTGGTCTTTCTAGCGCCTAAAACAATAAAATACATCAAGAAATACGAAGAACATGTCAACAGTAGTGTATGCATCAAATGTGCCAAATTACTCAATTATTTGGGCAAAATGGTCTATTCCACATACGTATACAAAAATATTTTCAAGAAGTTTCATAACAACTATTAAAATATATGAAACACACTGTATTTACAGTATTAAACTATTTTTTAATAGAACCTACACTAATACAAGTGACTCTTCATTTGTTGCTCCATTGCGATGGGCACTGTTCTTCTTCCAAATGAAAAAAATAAGAGGGAAACAAGTAAGGAAAAAGCCAATAACTCTAGAGAAAAAGCAGAAGATGGGAGCACTCAATATGCCGTTAGTCCCGTATCAGGTGACAGACAGACAACTGGTGAAGGCCAGAAAACTTTCTGTGCGTGGTTGGAACTATCCTAGCTGGTTCTAACCACACAGCTTGCTTACGCTCCGAGTCTGTAACGCTCTGCCTTCCTCCCCATTTCATCTGAAAAAATGAGTTGTCCTTGGAGAACAGTCATATAGCTGTTTATGGCGCTGAAGACACTGCAGAAGAGTAATTTTACAACATCTTTGCGCTAGATACAGACTGCCAACTCTCACATGCTGTACCTGAGACTGATCTGGTCCCATCTTAAATGAGTTTGCCGCAGCAGCTGTTTATAATGCAGCCACCCCAGCCTCTCTTCTGCTTTGTGTTAGACTGACCAGCTGCACCCGGCCTGGGATCTGATCTGGCCACTCGGCCAGCACATCGGTTCACGCAGACGAAGGGAGGCTGCAGTGCTGAGCATGGAGACCTGCTGAAGCACGTCCCGCAGAGCCCCGGCAGACGGCTTTTTCTTGAAATGCAGCCAAACACATGGCAGAAACTGTATCTGCACGTGTGTGGTACCTACACATGCCACCACAGATTCTCTTGCACTGCAAGATCGAGAATTTTGTGCTGAGTTTGTAATATACTGGAAAGTTTTAAAAATATGAAATTAATTACAGAACATTTAAATCTTTGTATCATATACAAGTAATCCAACAGAAGCTGCCCAGTAAGTCTTGCCAATTTGATATGGTAACACTAACGCTGACAATCACTGCACTCATATTGTTTTAAAAGGTCTTTCTTAACACCACCGATTAACACATTCTCTCTTCAGCACTTCCAAGACCTTGAGATCAAGCTGATTGTGGGACATACCTCTCCAATACATGCTTTAAGTACGTAGGCCTCTTTGAAGCTTCCACTCATACCTGACATTTGTTAAATTACACAACACAATTTAAAATAATGATTACACTCATTTGAACTATCTTGCCTCCAGCCAGTCTAAAACTTGGATATGGTTCCACATTTTTCACATGAGGAAAATCCTGCAGTATTCCCATGTTTGACAAACTACAGTGTAGCAAACTGATGATAAAAAAAAAGAGGAGTAACAATTGTCTGTCTTATTGTAAGAATATTTGATTTTTTTCCTTTTTCATATCCAGCATTAAACGGCTTTTCTCTTATTCTTAAATTCAATCGTAAGTAGAGCAGCAACATAAACTCATGCTGAACTGTGTAAATAATTTATTCTTATAAGAATAATCACACCAATGATAAACCATGAAATGTAAAGCCAATATTTTACCGAATTGTAAAAACCAAACAATTTCCTCCCACTCAGTGTGACTTTAAGTATTTTAGATACATACTCCATAAGGACATAAAAATTACTCCAGTTAATCACTCTTAGAAAGTATACAGACAGATGGATACAGATATAAAAAGCTCCATCATGTCCAAGTAACACAGAAATACATTTAAGAAAATAAGAATTATCTTGATTGGTAGACTGTTATGGAAAATCTAACGAGGAAATTTGTAACTGCTGAAAACAAAATGAAGCCATCACCTCTTCAATAATACCAGTATAATAATTAGTTAAATGGATTAAATGGACCACACTGGCAAATAGTTAACATGTATTAAACCTGATACGCAGGGTCCTGAACACAAACCCTGAATGTTCTTGCACTCCTTCAATTCTGAGGTGACAACCGAAAGCTACTGTTTATGCCGTTACACAGTGTAACCACTATATTTGCTACTTGTGGCCTGGTTCAGACACATAAATACATACATGAAAATTGAGTTTTAGACCTGACGATGCAGAATATGGGACACAACATAACCTGCACCGAGGAAATCAAAGGAGTCGCTACAAAAACATAACCTTTACAAAATACTATGATTTCTTTATCAGGAAAGATATAAACAAATTTGACTACAGATCAACTGCCATTGTCTACATTACTAAAGAACCTAGAATCCCCTACTGAGATCAGAAAACCACTGTCTTAAACACTACACAAACATATAAAAAGGACTACTGAAAATTCAGAACAAGTGAAAAAACGTTACTGTTGGTGGTCTTCTTCCACTCTTTCCCTGGAAACATCAAGGCTAAATACTACTGTTGAAAACATTCCTTATTAAGCTTTCATATATGGCCACTTTTATTCAGACATTTGGACAGCACGTGTGTTATGCCCTTGCTCTTCTGCCCTCAGATGCACTGCACCATTTTACTCCTTCATATCCTAACATACAATAACATATAATCTCATACTCTCGGACAATTGCACGCTCCATGACTGCCAGCCTGTCAGAAAATCCCATTCCGTGTACATGCTCCTCTCCCTTATATAATCTCTCCCCTTCCTATATTAGTCCATCTGTGTAAAAGAAAAACTGGGCAGACTATTTCTTTCCTTGGTCGTGCAAGATAAATCTCCTCTCAGTAATATTCTGGTCTTTCTGTCTTGAGCTCAAACAACCTGAAGTAACACCATGTAAATACGGATAAGGTAAAAAGAGAAAGGAAAAAAAATACTTGAAGTTTTTTATAGCTGACTTTTTGTGTTAGTAGGTGTAGCTGCACCAATATAGAAAGGAGTACTCAATGTCAAGCTATAAATAGCTCCTGCTGGGAGCCTAATAGCTCTGCCTCTGCTTTCACAGAGCACAGGCAATAAACTATCACTATTACATTTTTACAATTCAGGAACAAATAGATTTAAGCAAAAAAACGTTTCTATTTCTACAGCAAATCCAATAAAAGAAACATATTTATGCCATATATAAGGCTGTGTTTATAGAGTATACTCACATTTGAAATAAAATACCTGAAGTTGTAAAAATATAATGCTTTATTCACTTTAGAATTCTACTTCAAAGAAAATTACATTATTCAAAATATAGAGCTATTCATTAAGACATTTTATTTATGAATGAATTATTATTTATGACTTGGAGAATATTTATACTGCCCATTATGTATCCGCTACAAGTGTAAATCTAACATCAAAATCAGCTTTGCAGAAGACATGGTAAAGCCACTCGAGATTTTTCTGGAGATTAGAGTAAAGGGGGAAAAATATAATTTGCTTCTAATGAAGACACAAACCATACATGGGAATACATACAACAGTCCAGAATAAAATGTTAGACACTGCATTGCAATAGCGGCAAAAGTGGTAACTGCTTTCAGTGTTTCACAACCGTGTTTTCACTTTAGTTGCACAGATCACTTCTTACTCTGTGTAAGGCCATTACGCCAGTTTGGTTTTCTATAGTCTAGCTACTCCAATGGGATCTCAATTCCAGTACAGAATTTTTGGATGCCTCTGAAAGCAGCTAGAAACAAGTCACAGCATCCAGCAATGCATGATTTGAAACTATTAACTTCACAGTACTCAGCATTTCCTTACCTAAAATCCTCTACAAAAGAATCCTCTGTGTTAATATATAAAGATAGCAAAATCAGGTCTGTTTTACTTCCAGAATTAAGGACAGTCAAGGAACCTGTACAGGTTCCAACCTTAGACCACTTGCATGCTTATGCAATGCAGTTACACCCAACACAAAACACATAGTCTGTGAGAGGCAGAGAAGAAACCTAGCTCTGTATCTAAATGAATATCTTAAATAACAGTACTTTTCTCTTTTTGTGGCCATGCACAGTATTTATAAGCTAACCAGAAGCTGTGATACTCCAGAGAATGTGGTACACAAACGATCAGTTAAACACTATCACAGCACAAAGGCACAACAGGGCCACAGGAAGAACAGCAGAGACCCCTGGGTTACCTCTGAATATCCCATCTCATGCTTTAGTCCTTGAAGCAGTGTGACCGTAATAACAAAGCACAGTACTTTTCAGACTAAGCTTTTGTGAGCAAAATTCTGCTGTATTAGTCACACTTTAAAACAACAAATGTGAATACTGTACAGGATAGTACAGGACCTCAGTTTAGCTTTCTGGTTTGGAAGACAACATGGAAATCATGCTTGCTCATGGCCACCAATTAGCCAAAAAGTAATTATATCATACTGCCTTTCCAGATTCGGAGCTGTGAGCTCCGAAGTAGTTAAATGGCTTTCTAGACAGAAACCGGATCTACTACATAAAGCATTTTTGCAACAAGGCTTTGTTAACAGCTGACTTCAACAACGTGCTGGTTGCCAAAAAGCTTACCTTTCTCTCTTTCAGCAACTGTTTGTAGCCACTGGCACCTAGAGACAGAAGCGTAATGAGGACATCTAAAGAAGGAGATGCAGATGCTCTTCCTGAAAAAAAACCCCACACAAATTAAATTGGCAAAAATAAACTTTATGTGAAAGAAGGCTGATAATCAAGTTTTCTACAGTTATTTCATATGGATGAAATCAGTCCATGAACTAGTTACCTGGATACATTTTGCTGATCTCCTGAATGAAGGACTCATTGAAGCCAGCAATGATAGCACCACCTACTGGAACCATAAAATTTTTGTCCAAGCTCTGAACAAAAGCATCTATTCTGCCTACTCGAGCACCCTTTATCAAAAAGGAACAACAAAAAAAATTACACAGCAGACATTAGACAAGGGAAACACATGCTAGCATCATAATTACACGGCAATGTAATAAAAATAAATACAATTCCTGAAACTCTCTCAGATATTGGATTTGTGATGAAAAATTAAAAATCACAGTATTAAGTTTTCCTAGCACTGCTCACTATTATTACCATTGTCTGCTTACATAGTACCTTACAAATTCCTATTCTGCTATGATTTAAAATATTGACTCTAGTTCCTGCAAGCCTAAGTGTAGCTTATTTTCAACAACAAACAAAAACAAAACCCTTTGAATTTAATGGGAATTATACAGTTAAAACCATACAACTCAAAACATTTCAGAGGTTCTCACAGTAAAGGGCTACAGGTTAATGCTTCATCAGAAAAGAATAGTATTTTTCTTGATACGTGTACAAATTTACATTAAAACAAGTGGGCTGTGACAGCACTACTCCTTATAAGACTGACTGCAAAACCAAGATCCAAGTAACTTCCTAAAACAGATTTCCCACTTCCCAGAAAACAAAATGTCCTTATACCTAGCTACTCAGATATTCTTAAAGGAGAAAAAAAAAAGAGTAGATTCTGCAGTATATCTTCAACTTGATTAATATGCCACTGTGAACCGAATAATTAAAAAGCATGAAGCATAGCAGAACCTGAAAACTATATTAAAGAACATACATAATAACGTATATTCAAATACATACATATTAAAGTACTACATACTAAAACCAAGAAACAGAAACAGAGCCTATGGAAAAGAGTAAAAAAAGCAGATCAGCTAACCACAGTTATTATTCCTATGTTTTAATAGCTCAGTGCACAGGAAATGGGAAGAAGCACTCCAAATTTGTCAGCTTTTTGATGGGAAGACGAATGCCAGCAGCTATCATTTGATTTAATTGACAGGAGACCACCAGAGAAAAAGCATGACAAATGAAGCGGTCACAAAAGCTCTTTCCTGTGATACTCATGCAAGTTCTGTTCACACTGTGCTCAGCATGTACATATTCCTAAGTATTCATTAAAAACTACTTCCTCATAGACAATACATATTCTATTGCAGGAAATAGATTTTTGTAAATAAATGTAGAATAAATCAGGGCTCAAATGTATACATTTGCATAAACAAAGAACAAACAAACAAAAAAAACCCAAACAACCTATCACGAAGCCAAGAGAAAACACAGAAACCAACACAGTAACAGTTCTATTTGTAGCTTTATAGTCTGAAAAGGTTATCATTAGACACATTTCATGCAGTAAAACTCAGCAATTCCACAGCACCATTCATGTTAGAATTTCACTAAACTTGTGCAAGTTAAACACAATAAACACGTACCAAGCACACTGCAAATAAAGCATATGCCATTTTCTGTTCCACATATCACTTCGACTTCTGTCGTATTCCTTCAGTTTCTCAAGATTTAGAAATGCCAACATGATGTTCCTGTCATTCTACACGGAACTGGTCTGTGCCCAGTTAATTGCAACGTGTTTGTCATTAGAAAAAAAATGACCAGCATATTTTAAATTCATGATAGTTCAGAATCCCATGTAGGCTGTTAAAAAATATCCCCCTATTCTTTTAATATGGGCAACAGAGAGAAAAGAGAAATATTGAAGAAACCGTGCATGTACACTGCAGTGAGCAAAAATGCAAGAATTCTAAGTTTCACGGCTGATCTTAGATACTAATCAACCTCCTCTTCAAATCAGACAGCAACAGAAATTAAATTTTTTTTGAGATAACACTGAACTTAACTGAGTTTCCTCAGCTGTTCTCTGTGCCAACAATATTTTAACAGTGACAACATCTATGAAGTGATGCTGTAGAATCTTGCACCTTCATTTGAAAATCGGTAACTTGCATTCTGTTGAAGGCTTAAGCCCTATTCAAGTATGATCCACTGTTTTATTTTTAGTCAACAAGTTTAGGAAATATTTTAGGAAAGCTTATTAAGGACATTTTTCCATTATGAAAATACATTTGAACATAAACAAAACCTAAATAAACATCAGTTTATTACACAAACAGCACATAACAGAAATAACAAATACTATTTTTAAGTTCTATTTCCCTCTGCTCTGCTTTCTCAGAAAATTGTTCAAATATCAGACAGGCATAGGATTAGTCTCGAAGCTGTGAAACACCCAATAAAATCTGCTAGTGTTGTCTACAATCAGAGATTTACTCATATGTGTAAAAAAAAATATTATTGGAAATACACAGCTCCTACCTGCTGGATAAGATGCATACATTTCGAAGACTGAACTCCATATGCATTGTTGACAATATGGGGAATGTCATAATTAGCACTAATCACAGCCAGTTCCTCCAGCCTATGAGCATAAAACTGTAATTTAGAGAAGCACTGATAACTGTAACTCATGTTACAAATGCGACCATTAAAAGACTGAAAGGTCTACAAGGAGGTCAGAATGAGAAAAGAAACTTTTTTTATTAGTACCTCAGGGCAGCACTTGTCACCTTAAGCCATAAAGGTTAAGAAGAAAATTCTGTTAGCTTTTACATATACTACAAATCGTTGACCTGGGCTGAAATTTTTCACGCTTCACTGAAAGTTTTGTCTGAAAACGAGTAAACAGATCCCAAATCATTCTGCTTCAGATAAGCTTTTTTTTTTTATACTACTTCAATGACAACTAACAGAGCTTTAGCTATTCACACTTTTTTTCCTTTTCTTCTAATATTCAACCTGAAAATGGCCTAATGGAAGTTTCAAGATGTGTCTTGGGAGTCAAAAGCATCACAGAACAGGAAGGTTTTACATGCTTCTGTTTATTTCAAAGAACCAATATTTCAACCCTTTGGCTGAAATCTCCCTTGCATATTTCAGATAAACTGACTAAAATAAAAAATATTCTTCAAAGGAATGGAGAGCCCCAAAATGTCTGAATGTGGAGATCCAACAAAATTTTGTTCAACTGTTTACTTAGAAATAAGGACAACACTTCATTTGCCTTTAGAAATCTCGAAATCACAGTGAGCTCAGCCTGGATTGATTTGTTGGTCAAACTAGGATTTATGTGAGTGCATAGGTCATTTTGGGTAAGGGCTTTCAGCATTTTAAACACACATGGACTTAGTACCCTTTTTTTAAGCACTCTGATCATGCTGTATTTTTTAAAAAGCTCTTTATTTTCCCTAAACTTGTGAAAATATTTTAGAAACAAAACCTATTTGAAAAAATAAAGTAACATATAATAAAGTGATGATAAAGGTAGTATTCTTTACAAAACCTAATCAGGAAACCCTAAACCTCCAATACATTTTTACTCCATCTCCTTCTGTACAGCCTCTCACTGTAATTTACTGACGTTCATATAAAACGTGTCAGAGTATGAAAACACTTTCCAAGAGGTGACATCCCTTAGCACTCTACTTCTATTACATTGCCCAGTGTTGTTTTGTAACGCAAAATTCAGCTGCAAACCTCAGATTAAATTTTCTGAATCTCGATCCTTAGGAAAACATCATCACCGTATTCTCCCTAAAGACATCACAAGTATTCAATGCTTAGGAACCACCAGCAGTCTAATGTACGTATGATCTTCTAAAGTCAAGATACTTGTCAGGAGCTGCATGTCCAGTAATTTTTCACGTTTATCAACATCCTGAATCCTGAACTACACAACGTTAACAGAATACTTCAGGAAATGTAACACTACACAGGGCAAAGTTTTTGCCTTCTGATCCGCTGATCTTAATCAGGCTCATTCCTTACCTTCCACGGAGATTCAAAGCAAAACAGTTCCCCTGTTACAGGCTTCTTTTCAAGTGCAGGTAGAGAATTTGACCAAACTGGAAACATAGAAGGTGTACTGCTAGGTACATTTGCTTTTCTCACCTCCCAAGACTTAAAGGAGCAATAAGCTAGCTTCTACAAGTACTGAAAACAGAAAAGTCTCTTTACCTAAAAATATTCTACTGAACAATTAGCTCCATATTACAATACAGGGCTAGAGTACTACAGTTTGAAAAGAATACGTGATTACGCAAGGGAAGCAAACAATTATGCACACCACTTGTCTGCTTCCAAGGCTTAAAACGAACCACTAAAAGTGCTGCTAGTTATATCAGAAAAATGAAGCATTAATATAACTTTCATTACTACTCAAGTTCCTAAAAGTCATAAATAGGACTCACAGAAATATTATCCAATTGATTCTTTCTCTCCTGCTTGTGCAAGTTCATAAAAAGAAAGCTTTGCTCTTTCTTCTAATATTAATGAAAGTAACAAGATACAGAGTTCTGCTAAGTACATAAACTGAAAAAGACACTTTTTTTTCCTGTAGTTCTACTTTAAATAAAGTAGTTACAGAGACAGCTCCCAGCAACAGCAGGTAAAAGGGAGAACTGATGTCTCTCCGAGGAAGGGGGTTTATACACTTAGTGAATTATTCTCATAAATTTAAATAATACTTCAAAGAAAAGCTACAGGTACACAGGCATAGAACTCTTACCCTGACCTTTTAACAATCCTAGGTCACTTAAAATCTTAAAGCACGTCCACCACAACTACACAAAGTCTTACAAATGCAAGATATTTAAAAACAGACGTTTAAAATGGTACTCTCCACAAATGCTGTACAGGATTTTTCTTCCTGTAGGAAGATGAATGTTATGGCCTTCAATAGTTGACAGTATCCTTTAAATAGAAAGTGCGTTCAAATCCTTCTATATCTTTAGTATATCATAACACAGTGCCACTACCTAATAATTCATCTCTTAGTTGCAGAGGACAAAACAATCGCATGTCAAAAAGAGGAGGCAGATAAGGAAAAGATTCATTTACCCAAGCTATAAAACAGACCATTCACTTTTGATAGCTGTGATTTAAGTTAGCCAATAAATCTGCAAGTCAACTTCAAGCAATGTTCATAGTATTCTGGCAGAATTATACAGTTTTAACTTCCCTCTAGCAACTGGGTTAACCTATGATAAATACTGTTGTTTTTTTTAAAGGTAGGAAAACAGAGTGAAACATATCTTTACTTGCCCTGTTTCAGACTCAACAATGTTTCTCTCCTACACTTGCAAATATTCAACTAAATTTTCCAGATAATAAAGTAATTAACAAAAAAGCATGCACTGCAGAGGAACTATAAACATAAGTCTTTTTAATTTTTGACAAATTAAAAACAATTAAAGTGGAACAGAGGCACTACATTCAAAACCATGTTAAAAAAAGACATCTTACTAATATCTCGTACTTCAGTGTACTGTACAGAAGCCCATAAAAATATACCTGTTCAATTGTAAAAACCAAACAAATTTGCTTCTTGATACTTCTTTTCATAAGCAAACAAAGCAAGCAGGCTTTGTGAGTAACAATGGTGCTCATTTTGGACAAATGACTCAATACACCAAGTACTTTAGCCACCTCTACCCCAACACGCCATTTTCAGATTAAGAAGTTTTTCAAGTATTTCATACCCAAGCTACACACTGAAATAATGTCTCTGATACTCTATTTCCCATCTATAACTGCAGCGTTCATTGCAGCTTCAGCCAGTGCTTGAATGACCACTTTATACATAACTTGCACAAGTGCTACATAGACACGTAGTAATAAGAAAGAATGCAATGTATTTTAAGCTTCTTTTGATGGTGATTTAACAGTGGGAAATTATAAGAAGTAGCATCATACAATCAGGCAGCAAATGTTCAAATCAAAGTAAATTACAGCAGGGCAAATCGTGTTATATTCATACAGCACATTTGCCCTAGATGCTTCCAAGAGCTTCCTTATGTCAGTACTTCTTAAATAGCCCAATAAACATCAGTATAATACATGAAAGAGTAACTTAAGCAAAGATTTTAAATTTCACTGTAGCTTTTATTTTTTTTTTTAATCTGTATTAAAAGCCTAGGAAAATTCATCACTGGCTAGAGGAGAAGAGTAGAAAAGGCAAAAGTAATATTAAAACGTGGCACTAGCTATGGAACTACATTCCTTGCAGTATTCCCTTACATAGACTAGGCTTCTATGAAAGTCTGTTTCTACTACTTCCATGAAATGGTGAGAAAATCACTGCCAAAAAGACATTCATTTCATCACAAGAGATCATCATTAACCTCAGCTATAAAACTGAAGGAAAACCTTCTGCATTATTCTCACTTACTTAACATACTTTTCTGAAAGTGGAACATTGTTTCAATCTGTCATTTTCCTTAAGCAAGGGGATTAAAGTATCTTTACTAATTGTTGGCAGTAATTAAGCAATTTTAGCATGATGGACATTCAAAACATGAAGGCTTTGTTTGCTTGTATTTTTTTTTACAGTAACAAACAGCACACATCTTACAAAGACTACTTACCTATCAGGTACCCTTGGAGCAAAGCAAGACGTTGTAGAATGTACACAAAGAATATTTTCAGCACCAAGAGCCTGGATTTTAGCCTCCACTGCTTCGATGTCTGTCCGTAGCTCATCACCTTCTAACACATTTTCTATCACCACAGGCTCAAAACCTGACCAAAAAAAGCAAGACCTGAATGTGCGTCATTAAATCTCTGACTAATGGCGGGTTTTTAGCTCCAGTACAAATCTGAAAAACCTTCTTGTTTCTGTTAAGAACGCAGATACATAAACTTTTTTACTGTACAATGTCCATATAACTGAAAACTACAATAATATTCTTGTTAAATACTGGACTTCAGACAAAAGCTTACCTTACACTCTTTGCATGCAACAGCAACAGGGTTGAAGATTGTTTTAAAAACAGATTAACCTCTTCCTTCCCAATTAAAAAGAAAGTGTTTGAGTGGTATTCTAGTAAAACATTAGCATGCTAAAATAGCCTCTAAAAAAGGATGCCATTAGATGTAGCAATGCAATAAAGATCATTATGAATTGGCTTTCTTCAAAAGCCACTGCCTTATTCAGTCTATAAACTTCCAAATTACTTCTTAAAAGATAAAAATGACCATGTTTTACCTCATTTTGAAAGTGAACTTTGTCATCTCATAAAAACCAAGCTATTTCCCAAGTCTTTTATTTTATTTAAGTTTCCAGTTTAAGTTTGTATTTAAGATGTACCACAGTTGAACCTCATGAAGTTGTTTCTCCAGGACACATATGAGAAACCTTTGAAAAAAGGAAGTTATCCCCTTCTTCTAAATGCTGGAATGCTTCCAGTTTTGGAATGGACTGCTCAGGAGGGATGCTGAAAAACCAGAGAGGGTCCATGAGAGGGCTACCAAGATGGTTAGAGTATAGCACATACAGCTTAGAAAGAAAGACTGCAAGACCTAGACTTTTCAAGCCTGAAGAGGCTCAGAAGAATATCTAACAGCAGCCCCCAACCATGTGAAAGGGAATTACAAAGACAAGAGAGCCAAACTCTCTGGGCCCCGCAATTTAAACAGGATGTGAAGGTCCCTGAGCACGTCCAGGGACAAGGACAGGAGGGCAACAAAGCTGGTGAAGGCCTGGAAGGCATACCCTGTGAGGAGCGGCTGAGGAGTTCAGGTTCATCTAGTTTGGAGAAAAGGGGGCTGAGGGGTGACCTCATTGCTCTCTACAGCTTCTTGAGGAGGGGCAGAGGAGAGGAAGATGATGAGGTCTTCTCCCTGGTATCCAGTGATAGGACGCGTGGGATTAGTTTAAAGCTGCGCCAGGGGAGGTTTAGACTGGACATTAGGAAACATTTCTTTACCAAGAGGGTCGTCAAATACTGGAACAGGCTTCCTAGAGAGGTGGTCGATGCTCCATGCCTGTCAGTAGTTGAGAGGCATTTGGACAATGCCCTTAATAACATGCTTTCATTTGGTCAGCCCTGAATTGGTCAGGCATTTGGACCAGATCATCTTTGTAGGTCCCTTGCAACTGTTCTGTTCTATTCTGTTCCTTGGTAACATGCAGTAAGAGGCAACAGCAACAAATTTTGGCTTGAGAGGTTCAGAATAAACAGCAAGAAAACCTTTTTGTCCAGAGAATAGTACAGCACTGGAACTGCTATCCAGAGGTTGTGGAATCACCATCCTCAAAGATTTTCAAGATTCAGCTAGACAAAGGCATGGCTGACCTAACTGAGCACTTAAAGAGTTTTATTTCTTAAAGAGGGAAGCCTGTTACAGTAGTTGCTCAAATTTCTGCCTCATAAATAAACAAATAAATCAGAAAGGTTCTGTTTACAGACTAAAACACTGGAAACCACATATTCGGTTCCACTGGAAACTGTATATTCCCCTCCCCAAACAGGTGTGGCATGGCAGCAACATCACGTCAGCTGAAGTGACTTACTTTCTTACAAAACAGAGAGATGTTCAGTTTACTGAATGAAAGTAAAGGAGAAGAGGGAGGGGAAAACGGACAGAGTGAATTCCAAACCAGTGTATCATGGCATCAGCTATGTGAATTTTTCCTTCATGGCTCAGCACCATGCCTTAACACTGGCACGTAAGGCTCAAACTCTACAGAACTCGGACTAGAATGATTTATTCACATTATTAGCCATAGTCTGGTTTTCAGTTAGTGATCCAGAAGACAGAGACCGCATTTAACAGATAGTTGTTAGATATCTGATACCTGCTTCTTCCTTATTTTTAGTTGATAATTCTTTTAATTAATTGTGATAGCTATCTTAAGTATTCAAAAAAATAAGAGATCAATTGTATTTCCTCACAACCACCTCCATTATAAATGTAATTTCCTTAGCTTGATGTTCTAAATTGAGCATAATATTCCAAAACCACTCCCACTTTTCTTAAATATATGTTCTATTTGTTCTGATCTGATTCCTTTTAAACACCTCTGCACCTTAGAATCACAGAACGGTTTGGGTTGGAAGGGACCTTACAGATCGTCAAGTCCCAACCCCCTGCCATGGGCAGGGACACCTTCCACCAGACCAGGGTGCTCAAAGCCCCATCCAGCCTGGCTTTGAACACTGCCAGGGAGGGGGCAGCCACAGCTTCTCTGGGCAACCTGTGCCAGTGCCTCACCACCCTCATAGTAAAAAATTTCTTTCTTTTACCTAATCTAAATCTACCCTCTTTCAGCTTGAAGCTATTACCTGGACAGAATCCAGTTCCTGCTTCCAATTGTTTAGTCATTTTTATCTAACAAGTCTTTTATGCAAAAAACAAATGTGTCCTAGGAACTAGGACCAGAATCTATGCCACCACCTGAAGGTACGTGCACTGAGCTGGAAAATTACGGCCTCCCTTACTTGCCCTTTCCTTGATCCCATGTAGCTGTCTGCAGGAGGGGACAGCTTCAGTGCAGGGATAGACTTTTACCCTTAGTTTACTTGCAGTCTGGTAAACAAGGAATTCCATTTAAGAGAAATTAAGTTTTGAACTAAAAAAGGCACCAAACATATTTCCTGAGTGATCTGAGTGACACTGCAAGATTAAAAACAAACGGGGCACCTAACACTTCCCATGTTCTAGAAGAAAAACAATGTACAAATCAGACGGCTTGTCACCTTCTGATCACAATTCCTAGGACACACGTGCTTTTTGCATAAATCTAAGTAAGAAATTTGAACCATGAGCCTTTGTTTTACATAATTCTCAGGACAGCAAATTAGGCATCTAACTGCGAGAGCAAACTGTAAATTCCTTAGTATTGTGTTCTCTGTTGACTACTTTACACACCTCTGTACCTCAGCATACGCCTATATTTTACAAGGTGTTAACAAGACAACTCATACGTGCGATTGCATGTTAGAAATCAGGAGCATAGAAATAAAGCACGATCCTGCATTAGGCCTTCTCTGGATCCTACTGCAAGCATATAAATTGATCTCTGCTAGATGAAGTGTTATATCTGTTAAAAGAATACACTGTGTAATCAGTTACCTTCTCCTTACCTGCAGTTATCATTGATTTAAAGCAAGATTTCTGGTCTATCCGTGGCCAGATAATGTACTTTGCCTTTGGTCTCTTGTGCCGCAGTGTTAAAAAACACAGAGTTAGACTCATGCCAGTTGCCATAGGAACCACAAAGCAATTGGTCACCGTCCGGACACCTGCACATAAAAAGCAAGTCAGAAATTAACACGAAGAACCCATGACATTCCCCCCAAATGAGAGATATTTTCAGATTTACACCTACCAGCCAGCTTTATAATATCCAGAACTACTGAATTAGTAAGTTTGTTCAAAAGGCTAGACCCTGCAGCTTTAGGCTGGACTGCAGAAATATCACCTGACCTTCCAATTCCATGGATCAGCCTAAACAAAAAAGATTGAAAACATACATCAGGTTGTTTTCACATCCCAAAGCAGTAATTCTTGCTGACTGAAGAGAATTTAATTTGATAAACAATTGTGGAAAATGCTATATCCAATGCAACATCAATATCTGCTATAATGAGTTCCATTATAACAAGCTACATATATTCCTATCAAACTGCTATTTATTTTTTTTTTTAACAGTAGATTAACAATATTCCTGTATGCAAGTAAAAACTTTGAGAAGACCCACAGTAGCAACACCTTCAGCATCTGGCAGGCTTCCTTTTCAGCACACCTCAGCACTTCTTGATGTCTGTTGAACTAGCATTATAAATGCTGATGCGTTCAGAAATGCAACTCCAAGGAAAACAAAAGTCAGTCGCCTATAGTGCAGCATATCATAGGCATAGTGGTATTATACAGATGCTCCCCTGACAAATGCTTCATCTCCTCAGGGCAAAGAAATAATATGTACTGTGGCAAAACGTCCTGAAAGACAGTTAGGTTAATGTATCACTTTGCCCATCTTTTTCTACATCTACCTCATTCTACTATTCAATATTATGTATCATGCAATACCATCTCTCTCTGCATTCTGTTTATAAATTATGTTTATAAACAGCATTTATAAATGTTAGATATTATTTAGCACCTTTCAGGAGTGGAGGATCCTGAAATCGTTTATAAAATACATGCTTACAGAACTATCTTCACCCATGGCTGAAATGCAGCAGCTGCTCACATAAGCTAGTAACAATACGCATCTGTTTCTGACTTTGATTCTGGTTTTGTCTTGGGAATAGAGTAAAATGCAGTCCGATGAGTGTGTGGAACTCAAAACTCCTTGGAGCATAGTTTTACAGCTTGAAATTTTTCCCCATTTCAAGCTATAGGTTGAAATAAAAAATAGCTTGATAATTAGTGGAAACTTGCACATAATCCTCACTCCATTAGAAATATTTTCTTCCCTCGTTCCTGCTGCTATGTTCTTAATAGCTTTCTCATACTACTACTTTTTCTTTCCTGCACCTACATACTCCTTCCTAAAGAGCAATCCTCCCTGAGAGCGGCCCTTAGAATTTATTAAGTTGAAAGGAAAGGCAGCTTGAGAACCACCTCCTGCTATCTCCACCACTCCCAAAGTTACCTGTAAAACTTATTGCAGAAATAAGTAGAGTGGAGGATGCCTCTACCCCTTTCCTTGTTACTGCTGTCACTCACAGGTGAAGGTGAGATGCCAGGTGACAGAGCTGCATCGGACCAACAGCAGTTAAATGCCAGCGCAGGCGCGCTCTGGCCAGAAGCTGGGCATGCTTTCCCTAGCACTGCCAGAGAGCAGCACTTCCTCAGACACTCTCCCCGGTGTGATCCTCTGCCTCCCTCACCACGCATATCCAAGACGGAAAACAAAAACAACAAACTGATGTATTAGTGGTTTTCTCCATTCATTTTTCATGGTACTATAGGGCTTATGAAAGCCATTAAGCCTAAGTAATTCAACTTCCATATGGTAAAGCTTAGTAAATTTCTGGTCTCTAATATGCTTCTGTGTTTATCTTTCTAGGCAAAACAACCCAGGAAATATCACTTTGTTTCATTCCTGTTAGACAAAACATCACAGCAAGGTACTCGGCACAGAACTCCAGGCAAAAAAAGTATATTTTCATAAAGAAATTAACGCAGATCCTCTAGAATTATAGCATCCAATGTACCCACCAAGTGTCAGAAGGGCTGCAAGCTACTAAAAGCTCTTCTTGCCTTTATGGATCTGCTTACTTCGTATCAAATCTATTTTAGATGTACCGGGTTTTCGCTTGAATATCAACTAATCACATTATAAAGGTATTAATGAACAGAACATAACAAAATACAAATAGCTGTTGAGTAGGAATGTTTGATACTTTACAATCTGCAGTGTTTTTTAATAATATACTGATAAAAAATGGCCAGTGCTAAAAAAGGCAAGTAATGCATGGATTATTTTTAAAACAGGAACATCTCTGCTTCCCTTGCACGCAGTCAACTCAACATCTTAAGCTTCTACTGCTTCAGCATACAGGATGTAACCCCGACAAGATTTTGCTTCATTCAAGACTTTCCAATGAGTTATTAATGAAAATTCAATATTGTGTTATACTGTTCTTCTCAAATGCTATCAAGGTGTCAGATAACAATACACAACAAAATATGCCATTTGAAAGCATTAATAATAAATCTGAATAATTCAAGCTGGCAGTAATTTGTACCTGTAATGCCTTCGGGCAACGAGTCCTGACGCCACTCTTCCTTCCCTCTCACCCACACCACAGTTGCCCAGAAAGTTATTGCTATCCATTATAGCAAGTTCATGAAGAAACAGTTCAATGGTGCTTTCATCCCATCCATCTTCAGGACATTTTCCCTTAATAACAATAATATAAAGGTAACTACCAAACTTGGAAATTAAAAATGTACACAACTTTATGCAACTTGTTTGATTAATGTTACCCTTCTTTCCCACACCGAACAGCAGTTTATATTTTCGTTATGCTGTTTTATATTAGCTAATGTTATGACCCTGTATTCAGAGAAACGTTAAATAATTATTTTTTCCATACATTCAGTGTGATTACATTAGCATGTCCTGATACTCAAACAGTCCAGTTACTTTAACTTTCACGTTAAGGTACTCACAAAACCCCTGCAGCACATACGTGTTAATTACTCCCTACAAGACTATAGATTGTGTGATGTATTCTCTAGACAAGAATCTAGTGCTGTAGGAACTCAACAGAGAAAACTAGATGAAAGGGAGATAAGCGGGTATTACAGAACCAAAAATATTAATTATGATCAGAAGTGAAATATAGTTTCACTTGTACCACATCTTCCTACCTACGTATTTTCCTTCCTAGATCTAGTAAGTACGGAAACCACTTGCAGAACGTAATGTGCCAAAACTGCAACCAGAGGCATGCTCTTTCTTGCGCTCTCTACCGCGTTAAGAACCGCAATTGTCTTCGCAAGCTGCAGAACAGCTGCTCAGCAGAATGGCACCCGTAAAGCCACGGAGCGTTCCCTCAGCAGCCCGGAGGCTTTCTGCTAGCACGCCCCAACACCAGTGCCGGGAACTGGGTAAAACCGCTTCATTTCTGAGGTGGCGTAAGGCAGTGAAGTTTGAAGCAGCGGCTGACAGAATCACAGAATGGGAGGGGGTGGAAGGGACCTCTGTGGGTCATCTAGTCCAAGGACGCTGAAGGACTGAAACCTTTGGGAATTCGTCGGTGATGGTTTCTGCACACTGGAGACAAAGCAACACCTTGCCTGGGCGCCTTACACGGCCCGGTTTTTACCTCATGTAACAACCTGTTGGTATCTTATTGTTTTAAAACGTTTCTTTCGCTGCTCGCCGGGCCTTCCTCAGCAAACGCACAGCCTGAGGGAAATTTTTTTTCTCCCAAACGCGGCCTCTCACTCCGGGGCTCCGCCAGGTCCCTG